TACCTTTACTTACCCTTTAAAAATTTAATTTAAAATATTATTATTAAAAAAGTTTAAAAAGTAGTAAGTGCAAGTAACTTTAATTATAAAATTAATAAGTTTTAAAAATTTTTATTAATAATAAAAATATTAATAAAAAAATTTAATTAATAAAAATAAAGTATTTTAAATTTTATTAAATAATATTAAAAAAATTATTTAAAAATTTAAAAAAAAGGCTAGCCTTAAGGCCACTTTTATAAACCTTTAAGTTATACTTAAGCTATTTTTAATTAAAAAATAAATATAAATTTAAATACTTTATATATAAGTTTTTACTTTAACTTATACTTAGGGCTTATTTTAACCTTGCTTAACTAGTAGCTAAAACCCTAAATATTAATAACCTAGTTAAGTTATATAGCCTAATATAATAATAAAATATACTAAGCCTTAGTAGCCTAAGGCCAAAGCTTAGGTTACCTAAGGTACTAACTTTGGACTAATAATAGATTAGCTCTAGTAATGTTAAATGGAAAAACGTTGGCCCTGACAAATAATAAATATTAAAATATATAAAAGCTATTTTAGGGGCAAGAATAAGGCTTAATTTATATAAAAAGTATTATTAATTAGTGGTAATAAACTAGTATATAATAATTTATTTAGGGATCTTAATTTTTAATATAAGGTAAATTACCTAATATAATAATATATTAAATTTATTAAAATATATATTTTAAGTATTAATTTTCCCTAAAAAATTTAGTGCTAGTATAATATTATATATTTTAAAGGGTATAGTATTAGCCTAGCAGCTATAATAGGCGGAGAATTGCTATTCTCACGGTAACTTTCCTATTCTCACGGTAATTAGCGCCCTCTGGCCGCGCTGGCGCGGGAGCTAGCCGCTTTAGTACTAGTGAGCGGAAAGGCCGTTACTAAGCCTATTTAGGTTCCGCCTCTCGATTCTGCCCGGCAGAAAACTCAGCGCGCATCGATTATCGATATCCTCGAATTTTGATCTCTTATACAAAAATCGACATTTTAAACTCAACTAAATACAGGCAAGTTCTAACTTTTAGGTGGCCGCGTATACTGACCAATGAGAATGCGTCATTTAGAATACAAATCCCTACTCCTTCCGCTGCGCTGCGCTCGACTGCAAACGCTTGCTCCGACGAAGAACCTCAACACCGGCCTCCCCCCCATTCTCAACCAGTTGATTCGTGTGTTCGAACTCGGATAGATCTTGCTTGGTGGACTTCTTCGGTTGATTCAGAGCCCCCCGAGGCCTTCCTTTTTGTTGTTTCTTTGGCGGAGGATAGATATAAGGGCGTTGAGGATGCGCAAGGAGTCGAGATCTCGGAACTAGGAGCCACTGGTCATGGAACTCCTCAAGGCCAAGGCTCCGGTTGTCATGAAGCGCTTCTTGAATTTGATGGATACAGGGGAGTCCAAGGCTTCGCTTGTAGCTGCCTGTACAGCGCTTGATTGGTTTGTCAAGGCGCTCCGGTAGATAGAAATTCATCGTTTCGATTACCTTCTGCATGGCGTAGGTAGAGACCTTTGTAACAATGTCCTTGAAGAGGAGATGCCTATATCGAGGCGGAGGCCTTAGAGTATTATCAGCGTGTTGGTGTTGAGCCTTTGTATACTGAGCCTCGATGATACTATTGATGAGAGTTACCACACGGATCGGCTCGCTCTGGGATGACTCCAGATCTTTCTTTAATCGACGATGAGCTGACTCCACCCGAGAGGTCGATATCTGGCCAAAGTGCGGATAGGTGTTGGTGTAATAGGCCAGGAAGAACTTCCTGGTGTCTTCTTGAAGCCATTCCTCCTCGATATACTGCAGGAGATCTTTGTACATGGGCTGCCTGTACGCTCTTTTGAAGGCCCTCCATCGGCTCTCAAAGAGAGTCTTTGTCGGAGATTGTACGGCTTGAGACCATAATTGTAGCATTGCAGTCCACTGCTCATTGACCCTTTGACTTCACTCTTTGTTGTTTGGATTGAGGCTATCCCGAAGCGCAATTGATATAGCCCGCTTTGCTTGGCTAAGGATCTTCTGGTTAATATGCCAGATGCAGAGAATTTGATTAGTTGTAGGAAGAATAACACCAAGCGCCTTGACAAGAGCCTTATCTTTGTCGGTGACAGTAACCCCGGGCATTTCAAGGCCTTCTCGTGTATAGAGATCGCGGAGTTGTTGCAGTATCTAGGTGTATGATGGCTTGGTCTCATCCCCCATGAAGCCATACGCAATAATAAAGGTCTTATTGCACGCGGTGACTCCAGCAATTGTACAGAGAGGTAGGAGGTACTGGTTTGTCTTGTAGGTGCAGTTGATAATGATGACAAAGGGGTTTTGCTTGAGTTGCTTAATTGAGGTTGGATGGGCCAGGAAGGCGTACTTCAGCTCTTTCTTGGAGTTTGTCTCATGCCTTATGAAGCTGCCCTCTTGTCGAGGCAGCTAGTTGATAAGCGCTTTAGTTGGTGTTTTGCCATCTAGGAACTGACGTTGGAACTTATCGCGAAGGTTGTAGAGATCTTTGATCCTTAGAGGGCAAGGCTCCTCCATACGCTTTAGATAATCCATAACGTGTCGAGGATGGCAGCCAGCTCCACCAGACATTAGGCCAAAGATCTCTCCTTTGTGGTCCTCGATATACTCTCTGCGCCGGTCGGGGATAGAGGAGTCCTCAGTCCGCTCATGATTATGAGAGCCATGAATAACTTCAAGTACTGCAGTTGGGGTTTGGCGCCTGACAATAACTTTGAACGGGCAGTTGATTTGGTAGGATCCAGCGCTTCGAGGCTTTGGAGGAGGAGTAGGCTCAGGGAGAGGGTTCTTCTTTGGTGTAGGCACTGCTCCGCGGTGGCATTCGAAATCGATAAAGTTAACTTCTCCATAACATTTAGGGTACTTGCTGGTGCTTCGTTTAAGGACCGCGAAGCCATTGATCCTTGCAAAAGACTTAAGATAGGCCTCTGCTTCCTCCATGGAGTTAAAAACCTCTTTAGAGCCATCTTCAAGCTCCGAGATGCCATCGTATTGATCTTCGATTTCGGAGTCATGTTCATCAGCAGAGGGCTTGCTGGGGGCTTCGTTTCCCGGATCACTAGATAGATGGATTGAACCGGCATCCGATGCCTGATTAGGAAACAAAATTTCGTTGGGATTGGACTCCATGGTGTTGAGTTCTTGTCCTATATAAACTATGACTTTACGGAGTTTTGAAAATATTTTCATGGTGTTGAGCTCGGCAATAGGGCTACTAGTACTAATTAGGTCTAGTTTATGGCTATGGAGCGGCTGGCTGCAGAACTAGTACAAATACGGCTAGTGGCGGCAGCGCGCGCGGCCGGAGGGCGCTAATTACCGTGAGATTAGCAAAGTTACCGTGAGAATAGCAATTCTCAATAGGCGTATTTAAGCCCTAAATATAAAGTTTTTAGGGTATAAGCTAGTGGGATTATAGCAGGGATTATAATCTTAAATAATAATATTTTTTTTATTAAAAAATAAAATTATTATAATAGCCTATATATATTAAAAGTTAATAATATTATTTAGTTACTTAATCCAGGAGATTCCTAGGGTTTTAAAGGCTGTTAACCATATGGTATAACCATACTTTAAAACCTAAAAAAATATTAAATAAAAATCTTAATTAAGGTAATTAATAAGCTAGCCATGCTAGTAAACCTATATTTTAGTATTTAAAAATAAAATCTCTTATAAGTAAATATAAGAAGCACTAAAAATTTTATTAAACTAAGCTAAAAATATATTAACTTTTAATACTATAGTTAGGTAGGGTATTATATAAAACTAAGGTAAAATTTTAAGGTAATATAATATTATACTACCTTTATTATAGGGTTAATCCCTAAAAATAAAAATAAAGTAATAATAAACTAAAAATAAGAATAATTAAATATAGTTTTATAATACGCGGGTTATTATAAGTCTAGTATAAAAAAAGCTAATTTTAATATAAAAACTACTAGAAAACCTATTTATATAAGCTTAAAAAATTTTTTAATAAGGCTTTAAAGTATTTAAACCCCTTAGGCCCTAGTGGCTTAGTAAGGCTATTTATTATTTATTTTTTAATAAAAATAAACTAAATATTAATAATGTTTTTAGCCTTTTTCTCCTAAATAAAATAATATTAAATATTAATATATTTACTTTAAGTATAAAACTAGGGATTACTAGCTAGTACTATAACACCTTTATTATTTTTATAAATTATAATAATAATAGGATTTACCTTTTAGGTGCTTATAAGCTTTTTTAGTAAGTAATAAAGCTAAATAACCTTTTTAATAACTTATGTTTCCCCTATATACTTAACTTTATAAAAAAATAAAGTTATAATAGGCTAATACTTAAAAAACTAGCTAATAGTTATAAAACCTATATAAAAAATATATTTAAAAATAAAATAATATATTTTTAAATTATTACTTTAATTAGTATTAATATAGCTAGTTAGCAGTTAAAAATTTCTAAAAAATATTAGTTTATAGTTTATAAAGCCCTAAAGGTAGTAAAACACGAGCTTAATAATTATTATATATTTTTTTATAAGTTTAATAAAAAAATAGCTTAAAATAAATATAAGGTAAGTAGTATTAGCCTAAGTTTCTAGTATAAAATATATTAAAAACCTAATAGTACTTTAATATTATTTTAAAATATTTATTAAAGTTATATACTTTTTAAAAGCAGGCTCTAGCTTTAAGTAAGGATTTATTAATATATTATAAATTTTAAAGTTATTTATACTAAACTAGTAAAAAGTTTTATTTATATAGCTAAGTTAAAAAAGCTAAAGTATTTAATTAGCCTAATTTTAGTAAACTTCCATGCTAAAATAATAATAATAAAGGCTAAAATTAAATATTTTAAAGCACTTACTTAAAATATTTTTAATTTTTTAAATCTAGGCTTTATTCCTGCTAACTAGCAGGAGGTTATTTATATAAATAATAATAAAAATCTTATTATTAGTAAAAACTCCTAAGTTTAAATAAATAAAATAAAAGCCTAGCATGGCTAAAAAGTTTATAAAAAATTAATATTAAATTTATAGTGCTTATTTTAAGTTATAAAAAGCCTTTTAAAGCTAGTAAACACGCTTAAAGCTATTAATAAAAAAATAAGGTTATTTTATAAAAATTATAATATTAATATCCCTGTATAAAATGTGAAAACCTTGAGTAGGCTAACCAGGTACAAAACAAAGTACTAAGAGGGCTATTTAATAGGGGATTAATATTAAATCTTAAGGCTAAAAATATATAAAAATTAACTTTTAGCTAACTATTCTTTGCTAGGGCGTTAGCCTTAAATATATTATTAAAATAATAGTAATATTATTACTATATAACAGGTTAATATTACTATAATTTTTATTTTATTAGTTTTTTTATTTTATTAGGGCTTAGCACCCGTGGGTGTAATAACTTAGCCCTTTTTTAATTAAAATAACCTAATTTTTAAATAGCTTTAATTCCTATAATAAATATATTTTATTATTATTTTACTTTAGTTTTATATTTAATTATTTAGTTTTTTTATTTAAAATAATTTATTATTAAATGCGGAATTATCTTAAGGCTTAAAATAATATTTTTTTATTAATATTTTACTTTTAAATAGCTTTGCTTTTAGTGGTTAAGATAGCTATTTTAATACGTAATAAAAGTTTTAAGTTACTTTTTATTAATTTAAATATTAATAAATTATAAATAAGCAGTATTTTATAAATAATAAAAAGGTTAATATAATTATTATAATACTATGTTATTAGTATTATATAAGTAATTAAATATAAAAAAATAAATTTTTATTTACTTCCTAGTTTTTTTTTTTTAACTTTTTTTATTTTTTTATTTTATTTTTTTAGTTCCCTTATTTTATTTCTTAAAGTTTAATATCTTGTTTTTTTATTTTTTTATTAGCTATCTAATTTTATAGCCCTTATAATAAAATTTAAAATTTATTTTCTTTTTTTTACTAAAAACCACTACTACTACCACTAAGAATAAAGACAGGAATAATAAAGGTTTCTTAAATAATTTAAAAAAAAAATAAGTAAAAAAAGGGTGCCATAAATAGTAAAAAAAAAAGCTTAAAAAAGGTAAAAAAGCTAGTAAAACTTATAGGGTTTTATTATATATATTTATTTATTTAGCTATATTATAATACTTAATATGCTTTTAATTTATATTAAAAGCTAGTAATTTAAATAATAATAATATATTATTTTAATTTAATTATAAGTTTAATATTATTATATTAATTTTATATAAAACTTATTTTTATTATAATAAGATTTATAAGCTAGTAAGTTTTTAATATTTTTTTTTAATATTTTATAATTAATTTATTATATCCCTTAGGTTAAAGTAATAATAATAAAAAATATATATAATTTATAGCTTTTAATTAAATACTATTATTTTTTACCCGTAAACTAATAATAAAAAAGTAAAGCTTTTTTTAAAAAATAAAAAGTATTAATAAGGCTAGGAATTTATATTTTAAACTTATTTTATTATAATTTAATTACTGAAGGCCTTTAAAAATATAAAAAAAGCTTATTAAAAAAAACCTTTTTTTTAAATAAGGTAAAAAAGGACTAGCAAAAGTTAAATTTTTAATATTATATTAAAGTATTATTATATCACGCTTTACTTTTTATTATTTAGCTTATAAATTTTTTTATTACTAATATAAAAAATAATACTAAAATTTTATAATTATATCTTTGCCTTTTCCCTGGTAATTTAGGCCATGTTTAATAATTTATTACTAAATTTTAATTTTAAAAAAAAGTTAAGCTTGCCTGCTAGGCTTATTTTATTAATACCTTAAATTTTAATATTAAACTTACTTATATTAAAATAAAGTTTTTTATTACTATTAAGGGCATTTAGCTAGATTAATTATATATCTAACTTAATAGCGGCGCCTTGCTATCTTCTTGCTTTTCTAAAGCTAGTATTTAGTTTTATTTCTAGTACCTTTATTTTTGTTATTTTCTAGTTTAGTTATGCCGGGCGACAGCTTGGTGATGTTAGGGCCTTGTCCCCTTAATAATATTTTATTTTTTTTATTACTTTAGCGCTTATTACTTCCTAGGTTTATAATTTCTTGTAGTTACTTATAGTTTAAGGCTAAAATAATAATTTTTAAGTAGTATTTTATTAGGGTTTTTTTTATTTAAGTATATTAGGTATATTTTAGCTTAAAGTTAGGTCTTATTTTTACTTTTAATTAAATAATAAATAACTATTTTATTACGCTTACCTTTTTTTATACTTTTAAGTAAGATTTAGTATATTTATATTTTTAATAAAAACTTATTAATTATATTTTAAAGGCTATTTTTTTTATTTTACTAGGTATAAGTTTTTATTTTTAATAAAATTATAGCTAATAATATTATTAATTTTTTATTTTTTATTTTTTTTTAAATTAAGTATAGCTTTTATATTAATTTTACCATGCTAAGGCTTAAGTAATAAAATATAAAAAATATTATATATTTAATAATACTTTTTAAAAAGTAGGAGTTAATATACTATAAAATTAATTTTATTTAATACTTAAAAAAAATTAATAAACTTAGGCTTAAGTTTTACTAGCACTTTTAAATTTAAATTTTTAGTATTAAGTTTAATAAGTTATTTTAGTTTAAACTTTATATTTTTTTAACCTTTATTATAGTAGGTTTAATAGCATTTTATATTTTTTTTTTAGTTTTTTTTATATTTAGCTTAAATTTTTTTAAGTTTTTTAATCTTAGCTAATATAACTAGTACCTTTATTTAATTAGGGTTAACCTTAAACTATATTATAATTTTTAGGTTTTAGCTATATATAGCTTAAAAGGGTAATATTTTAATAATAATATTTTTAGTATTATTATAAGTAAATTATATTATTTTAAGTAATATAAGCCAGGCATGGTAATTTTTTATAATAAAATAATATAAATATTATTTTAAAACTTAGTTAATTTACTTGGTTTATTTATTAATTTAGGGGTAAAAAGTAGTTAATAAATATAATTTAATTTTATAATAAAATTATAGCTTTTTTTAATATTTACTTATAAAAAAAAGTTTTAATTAAATATAATACCTTTTAGCTAGCTATAATTTAAAGTTTAA